TCATACCTAATCACTACCAATTATATCACCTTTAAATATTATCATATTGGAGTTACAACTTCAACACACGAATTTAGGGGTAACAAAATCATGCAATCCACCACACTTTGCATTAGGAACTCTTACAGTCCATATCTGCCTTACCACTTCAATATGTTCAACTGATATAGTTTTCCTTGCTTATTAAGTTTTTAAATAAATATGCTAGGTACTGATTTTGGACTATTATATATGTTGAAATGGTTGTTTTTCTTTAGTTCATCTTTTGATATTGAATTTTTACCTACATAAAATGTTTTTGTATACACTCTTTTTTCATCAATATTTTACTTTGCTGATTTCCTCCCCCCATAAAGTCAATAACTTATTCCAAGGATAAAAAAAAATTTATAAAAAAAATTCCCCAGACAGTTGGAATGCTATAATGTTCATTTTCTACCTTATGTACATATGTATGTATATATAAATGTGTATATATACAATTTTGATTGCTGAGGATCCATTAAATATTTCAAGTCACAATTTATATATCCTCTAAATATCTTTAAAAAGAAGACTTTTTTGGCTGCATTGTAATTCTAGGTCAAATTTAACAAAGAGAACAAATTCCTCATGATACAATAAGGTGGGCTGTCTGAGAACTGACTGTGTAACAGGAATAGGAAATCACAGTGTGACCTGTTTGTGAAAATTATCTGTACCTTCAGAGTCATCTTAAGTACTTTATGACTTCTATTTGAGAATGGACTGTTGTCATATACCTGAATTTATGGATTACACTAAGTCTCAACAGGTTGTATAATTGCATGGTGTCCCATCTTTATTTACATTCTACCAAGGGAAAATGGTAAGCTGCTTATGAAATCCTATGAGTTACTTGACAAAAGGTATAATTTTCCTAAAAAATTTAGAGATCTTCATAGCAATTTTCCTATAAAGATTTTCAATAGGACCTATAGAAAATTCTTAAATGAACAAGATATTTTGAACTCCTTTGGACCTACAAGATTATACTGGTCAAAGTGAAGAGCTACTTTTATTATGGCTTGGGCCAGATAAAAGCCTCTTTCTCCCTGGTTTGCACTGAATCCTGGCAAACTTTCAGAACTTTCAATAAATAAATCAGACAGCATACCTGACTGTAGTACATGTTGTTTCCAAAATCCAGGCAGACCCATAAAACAAGTATCTTCGTTAGTGGTATATGGGGTAAGATGTCACATTTTTATCCTTTAGGAAGGAATCTTCTAGCATACTTCAGATGCTGATTCAATTATTGCATTTGCTTACAAAGGGAATCCTAGTCTATGCATTCCCTTATGGCTTTCATCAATTATGGCTTTAAGATTCAATCCATAAATCTATAAATAGTCCCAGTTTGTTTGTTTACATTGCTTTTTATTCTTCTCATTTGTGAATATACCATTTGTTTATATATTCTCCTATAAATTATTATTTATGTTCTTTCTAATTAATGAATTATTAAATGCTTCTAAGACCATTTTTTGTGTAGGAAATAGATATGGGCATCATTGTTCTGTTCTTCACTTCTGATTATAAAGGCAAAATATCTAATCATAGATAAATGTTGAATTTCATCAATATCTTTATTTCATTCATTGAGATATGTGTATACTTTTTTTCTCTGTAAATAGTTATTGCATCAGGAACTCTCACAGTCCATATCTGCCTTACCACTTCAATATGTTCAAGCACATTTCCAGCTGTCAATGTCTGCAGTTTTTTCCCCCGAAGACTGTCTTGGAAGCTGCAGAAGGCAACTCTGTACCTGTACAAGGCAGGCTTAAAGTACCCAGAAATGAAACTCCAAATACCAGCTACCTTCAACCAATGACTCACAGAAACTTGTATTTCAATATTCCAGATTCTTTTCTTTGGTTGGATATAAGTCTGATGTGTCTGTTTAATACTATTTGCAGAAAGCACACCATGTTTTTCTAATTCACCGACAGTTTGTAAAAGACTGGAATTAGTACTCCATGAATGTTTAAAATATATGTTTGAAGTCATCAGTGGCTCATGTTTATAGTTTATCTTCCATCTTGTAGAAAATAGATATTACTGAGACTCTAAAGTGATTCCCCCTCCCCCCTCATTTCCAGCTCCTGTTAGTAGGTTTTTCTGAGGGCTGCCCAGGAAGACTGCTTGTGTCTTAGACCAATGGAGTCACTGCAACTTTGAGATAAGGTGATAAAGGAGTACTTTTATCCCTGCCAAGTATAGAAAAAAAATCCTCCTTAAAAATTCTAATTGCAATAAGTATAAAGTTACCCAATTATTAACTGCATGACAGGTGCTGCAAACTCAGCTAATTTGCTCCAGTAAGTAACCCACATTGGGACTAGCAGCTACAATTGTACACAGCACGTAATTATGCTTATGATTTTGCAGTCTCAAAATTCAGCAGCCTTCTGTACCATCAAAAAAAAAAAAAGAGGTAAATGATTCATCCATTTTGATAATATCATTACTTCTCCATTTCCTCCAGGATAAGTCATTGCTTTTTATTGACTATTTTTGTAAAGAGGAGAAACTTCAAGGCCCTTCTTAGAACTATTGCTGTTACCTCACAGGGCAGAGAAGCAGTAGGTGAATTCCTTCCATCTCTAAAACTGTGCATTTCAACTTTTTTTTAGGAGTTGGGGAATAATTAAAAGTGGGTATGGTGGTCTCATTGAATATACAGTGACTCATAAACTAATCACTTGTCACCTAGTTCTTTGGCTATGGCACCCAGGGACATAGTTTTAATTTTGAGCTATTGCTTGAGGACAGAGGGGTGGGTATTTCCCTTTCTCTGATATTCTCTAAAAGGCTTCAATTATGGGGAGAATAGGAGTAATATTCCCACTATGTCTGTGAAATATACTTGGTGGGACCATTGCTCTCCTCCATGAGGAGTTCTAAGAAGTGGCTATGCTACTGGACATGAATGAGGTGTGCAACTTTATTAGGGTGGCTTAAAACTGCTTTGAAGTAATGGAGGATTTTTCTTATAAGATTATACAAATCAAATGTAAATTCAAGGTTGTAATTCCTTCCTAAAGACTCCATGATCAATCTCTCAGATAAGTGATTAAACACTATGACTTTAATAAATACTGCTACTTCTCTGGGTACTGGGGACAGGTATGGAAGTGGACTTACATGGTTGTGTTTGGTTTACTCTCCAATGTATTTCCCAAAGTTTTGAAGAAAATGCTGCCTTATCAGTTGTAACTAAGGATTTTACAAAACAGGAAGGAGGCTCAGATAAGGATAAACTAAAAAACAAAGATACAAACCTAAAACAAATCACAAAGACCACATACATTAAAAATACCCTCATTGTTTCCTTAACCCCAACAATGAATCAGAGCCACTTTAGTAGAGGACAAAAGATGCATTCTTTTTTTCTTCTTTGGTTCCCCCTTGACTTTCAAGTTTCTAATAATGTAAGAGTTTAGAACTGAAATTATTGTGCCATGTTACATAGTTTCTTTTAATATGTTTATCGTTTGTATTATACTTTGGAATAAAATACACCTATAATATTTTCTTCAAACTATGTGTTGTAAAATCATTTTACTTTTTTTTTGACAAGCATGGACAGAAAAAAAACAGAATGAAATAAAAAATAATAGAATTCATTGCATGCACAATATAATGATAAGTATTTTTTGTGATGCTTTTGTTTCTTTTCATATACAGTAAGATACAATAAAACACTCCACCATTCTTTAGATTTAACACAATTTTAAATCTCATATGGTAGACAGTTTACAGTATGTATATTTACTTTTAAATTTATATTTGATTCCTGTCTCAGTTGGGTCATATAGGCAAATATGATTTTCAAGAAGATACATACATGTTATTTTTTTCTGAACTTGTCTACCTCAGGATGATTTTAGTTCTTTAACAATGGAAATGTAACTTTTCATAACCCTTTTCATGAAGACACTGTGCCCTTATGGTGCCCTTTCATCCATTGACTTCTGGGAATTATACTGTGGATAACTCTAAGCTGTCATTTTCTCATTTTTAAAATAATGTGTGTGTGTATGTGTGTGTTCATGCTGTAGAATTTTTTCTTTTCTCTCTGCTTTTAAAATACTCCAATTAAATAGATATTTTAATTGATTTTTATTTTTAAATGTTTTAATTTAATATTAATCTTCTTGATTAATTTTTAACAAATGTCTAGGAGTAAGTCTCTTTTCTTTTGATCTGTCTGCCTTTTCCATTTATATAAAGAGGAATTTCTTCCAAGAACCCCAGTGGATGTCTAAAATAATGGATAGTATCAAACCCTATATATAATGCACTTTCCCTGCACATACATTTCTGTGATAAAGTTGAAAATGCTCACCTTTTTACTTAAAGAATTATTTTTATGCTGGGTGGTGCATGCCTGTAATCCCAGTGACTGGGGAAGCTGAGGCAGGAAGACTGCACCTCAAAGCCTTCCTTAGCAACTTAGTGAAGCCCTAAGACACTTAGCAAGATCCTGTTTCAAAATAAAAACTAAAAAGATCTGGGTATCAGGCTCAGTGGTTTAGCACCTCTGGCTTCAATTCCCAGTGCAAAGAAAGATAAAAAAAAGAACACCTCCAAAGAAAAATAATTTATGACTTCTCTTTTTTGTACATGAATTGCCAGCATGATTATTCTTGTTCTTTGGAGCCACTATTAAGTAAAATAAAGGTTGTTTCAGCACAGCATTGTGATACCATGGCAGTCCACCTGATAACTGAGATTGCTGCTTAGGGACTAACCGACAAGTAGTATATCCAGTGTGGATATGCTGGACAAAGGGATGATTCACATCCCAATGGGGAGTAAAGCAGGACCTTGTTAGAGTTCATCATACTATTCAAAACAACCTTCAATCTAAAACTTAGAAATTATTTTTGGAATTTTCCATTTAATATTTTAGATGGTGGCTGATAATAGGTAACTGAAACCAGAGGAAAACAAAACCACAAATAAGGGGGTACTACTGTACTCATGCTTTTATTTCAAATTACATTTTCAATTATTGCAATTACACACTCAAATTATTCATCTATCCGTTCAATTTCTTCCTTTGCTCCTCAAAATTATCAATTGTAAATTAGCATTAAGATGTTGAGTGAGTCTCTCATGCCTCCTGTATCCATGCAGTATCAATTCAACAGTATGACCTATCTGAAAGACTCAGTGCTGTTTGCAAAAGAGTCTGGTTAAACAAGTTGAACTTCATGAGAGGTCAGACTCCAGAAAGAGGCAGTGACCCTGATTTCAGAATAGGAGTTCACACTGGAAGTTCACAAACTCTTCCAGGACCCTGTTTGCTCTCCTTGGCTCAGTATTGCCTGGTGTTTTCTTGCCCAATCTTATCCTCCACTTGTGTGCTCTTGTCCTCAATGCAGTCCCTGAACAAGCCTGGGTGGACTTTGCTTCAAGGAGTTTTGCACAAGCTGCTCTCTTTCCCTGAAACTCCTTCTTCCAGATTCTCTCTGGACTGGATTCATATTTAAAGTATGTTTAAATGCCACCTCTACAGAGAAGCCTCCTCTGACCTTCTGGTCACACCCCTTTGCACCATCCTCAGGTGTTAGAATTTCTTGCTTTTGAATGTTATCTGTCTGACACTCCTTAGATATAGGAAAGGACGTTATATATTTAATGATTGAAGCCCTTAAGTCTTCATACTTCCTGAATGACTAAGTATCCCCTTAAATATGAATAGGTCTAAAAATAAAATTATTGGGGCAAAACACTTGAAATTATGTGCATATATATTTTATAGCTTTATAGTCTTATTTCTAATATATAATTATCAGAGTTTGCATATTATCTCAGAGAGATTACATTTATCTTCTGCAATATTATTTCTTTACACAAACTAAAACAGCTATATTTAATATTTTATATTTTTTAAATACAGGGTCAATACTAGGACCACTTATTTGAATAGTATCTGTGAAACCTTTGCAAAATTACATTAGCATCTGTTACAAAAATTCGACAAATATCACCCCATATCTCTTACTCCATCTGTAACAAATCTAAAGGATTTTTTTTCTGGACTTAAAAATATATGTTTTCTTTGCCAAATGTGTGTGTGTGTGTGTGTGTGTGTGTGTGTCCTAATATATTTCCCTGAACATGTCTTGCTTCCAAGAGCTTTAAGGCAAACCAATTCAAACATATTGTAACCAGGCCCCCTTCTGTTCTCAAAATCATCTAATTACTAAGTTTTAGGTGAGCAAATCGTAACTAAATCACTTTCAGAATCAATGAATGTGAAGGACCACCTCCATAAAACAATACACATATGCAAAAATATACATATATAGCCATCCCTAGCATCTTCAGGGAGGGGGTCAATTCCATGAACTCCCTGGGATACCCAAATCTGCGGATGCTCAATTCTTTCATGTAAAATGACATAGTATTTACATATAATATATACATATCCTCCTTTATACATACTCTAAATCATCTTTAGACTACTCATTATGCCTAATAGAAAGTAAACATCATGTATATATTATACCATATTGTGTAAGTGTGTGTGTGTGTGATTAGTGACTATAATTTTGGTAGATTCATAGACTCTACCAAGTTTATTAACTAATCCAAAGTAAGAGCATCTGCTTTAGAGAAGATTGTTATCTTATCCTTAAGTGTTTTCATTTTCATAATTTGTAATCAGTCTGTAAATTTTTAAGAAAGAACAAAGGATCTGACTTGAATTCAAGTAAATGATTCCAGCTTTCTATGAATCTGTCTTATCAAAGACACCACATAACCTTGAAAACAAGGTTGAGAAGGCTAGATAACTTATTATTCAATCTTTATTCATTTCCACAGTTATGGATACACACAAAGTTATAGCCCCAAAGGGATAAAGATGAAAACCACTAGAAGGTCTCTGCAATGTGTTATAGCTTTTGTCCTACTATTTAAGGTTCCACAATAATTGTCTCAGTTTGGATCAAACAGATAATAAACCATGTTCTTTCTCAAAATGGCCAGTGAGTTGGACTATTGCTAGCCCAGTGACAAGTAAGTTTTCATTATTTTGAACACTGATAAAATGAATCTCATGAGTGTTCTCCCAAAACTAGCATATGCCCTTTATTATGGGCATGGTGAACATTGTTACAGGTGCAAGTCTGTCTTGCTTTAGAATTTACTAATCTCATTACCTGTACTTTGAGAAAAAATATATTACATGGTGGATTTTCCCAGCTTGACTAAATCTGAATCTGTATACTAACTTACACTTTATTGTATGTAATCCTTAAACTTCATATAAATGTAACAGATGATATTTATCTTACCATTATTTTATGCATTTTAAAATATTAAACTTTGAAATAAAATACATTTCTAAGTTAATAAAATAGGGCAATCAAAACCTTTATTTTTCCCATTTGACTGAAATAATAAACCAAATGAACAAGAAGAATGGCAAGAAAAGAATAAAACATTATTTCTCAGAAGATAAGGTCTAGAATACTATGAAAATATGCACCTTGCTTAAAACTAAATGGCAGAGTCAATGCATTTACCTTTGAAAAGTGAACTATTCATTGTCTTCAGGCTTCCACTTAGGATCTTAGACTGGGAGTACATAGTCCCCACACAGATGATCTTCTGGTTTTGTAATGAAAGAAAATAGAAGAATCTCTCTGGAAGGAAAACTTAGGTCATTTCTTTCTCAAGCCATATCGATTCCACAGTGTATGTGGAGCACATTAAGAGTTCTATCTTTCTTTGCAAGAGTAAAAAAAGGTTCCAAGTAAAATAGTCTAGTTATTATAAAATCAAAAATAAGAATGGAATATTTAAAATTATAACTCACTTAACCCGTGAAAACTGAACACTTATCTTCTTTAGTCAGGGATTTGCAGTCATCATTTGCATATTATATTTAGCCAGCAACTAAATTTTAATTTTTAAGTAGGAGACATTTAAATATAATTAGCAGCAAATAACAGAATGACAAAGCTACAAAAATTCATGAAGTTCAAGGGAAACAGCATCCTTTAGCCATACCAAGACGTGCTCTCCCAAGAAAGTAGAAAAGGAAGGGGTCTGCTTCACTTTCCCCATGCTGGCCTCCAAGGCAGAATTTCTAGAAACAACATTCCTTTCTGATGATAGAATAATGATGACAGAGGAGTAGATGTCAAAACCAGAGTGTGCATTCTTCAGAGTCAAGAGACCCTCAAACCTCAATAAACACCGTATTTAAAGGGATGTTCAACATAGTAAATTCCAACATAGCATACACACAACAAAGCTCATTTATCAGAGACAGATACAATTTTGAATATGCATTTTTTTTCCAGAGGGAAGCAGAGGACAACAGAGACCATCTGCAGCTGTCAAACCTGTGGAAGTGAAACAATGCACTGCAAATTTATACAATATATGAATTATAAATGAAAAACAAACACTATTAAAAGAAGTTGGTTGGTGGCTCAACATATAGACATTCATATGTATATATTTTATATAGCATGATAAAAATCAGCTTGCATGAAGGTTGTAGTATATCTACTTTGAAGTTATATCACACGTACTATAAGCAATTTACAGAATTTGTTGAGTTTGCATATACAGTAATTGCAAAATGAATTGAAATATAGAACACTGAAAATGTATTTATATAAACCTCCCAGGATTGAGGGATTGGCCATTATCAGCACTTGCCACCATTGAACAAGAAAAAGAAGAAAAAAAATAATCCAAGAAAAAAAGAAGTTTTAAAAAAAATTTCTTTGATTATTCCTTGTTTAAAATAATGTTCTCCTTGTTGACTGTAAATGTTGATAATTTTGCCCACAAAAGGGTTTTTTTGTTTGGTGATAGTTTGTGTTCTGTTGAATTTTGATCTCTGTTTACTTCCTGCAGATAGTGGGTCCTTTAGTAGGAAATCAGTGGTATCCATAGTAAATATTTACTATACCGATAACTTTCAGGCCAACCCCTGAGCAGTCTGTGAGATGATGAATTTTTTTTTTTTAATTTTTTGTTTTTTGCGGAAAGAAAAGGAAAAAAAATAGATCTTGCTATTAGAAAATGTTCTATCACTTCACACTAATTGTCTTGAAAGAAAAGATCAGGTGTGATTTGCCAAAGAAAATATTATCAACAAAGCATGTGATAGCCTCTTCATTTATGGTTCCGGAAGCAGGCGCTCCTTGTGTAGGTAATTAGAGTACAGAGGGTGCGGAATGATGCTTGGAGTTTAGGGTCAACTTTGCTGTCCGCTCCGTAGATTTTACAGGCGATTTGCTCTTTGCTTTAAGAAGAGAAAGTGATATTGGAAAAAAGTCAGCACTTTAGATTAAAGCAAAGCACCCTTCACAAAGCCACAAACAAGAAGCAGGACAGAAAGTCCATGGCTTGTAGCTATCCTCGCACCTGCGGAAGAAGTTATAAGATATTCGCTCATCTTGAAGATTTCCAATGCTCCTTATTAGGCTGTTTTAAACACATACATATATATATTTAATTAGCTCGCCAGCTTGGCTCTGGTGCTCATGAATGTCTTGGCATGCACTGCAAATAACAACACATACAAAGTATTTCAGTCCCAGGAAGTTGGTGGCGTTTGTTTTGTCTGTTTTCAAACAATGCCATCTCATGGTTGGGAGGCCTGAGAAGAATCCAAATACGTTCCCTCAAGGAATTCCTTGAGGATCATTCCCTATAATCATGTACTTGTTCCTATCAGTAGCATCTAAGATCACATGCCCCCTTATCCTAGAATTAGCATAAAACCACAGGAGAAGCAGAAAAACTGACAGCAGCAGGCTGCTCAACTGGGAGAGGGGGTTGCATTGGAGGAGCCAGGGAGAGGGGGTTGCATTGGAGGAGCCTCTGGGCTTTACATTTAGGGTCAGATCTTTCTCAGTTACCTGTCCTTCAAGTTGGAGGAGGTGTTAGTACTATCAAGAACTAGAAATTCTTGAAAGAGTTCCATCACTATCAAAGGGGAGGAATTAAACTGTACTTTTGCATTTTTTTTTCCTTCACATATTCTCTCCAATGAACTACTAGGTATGAAGGATATACAGAACAAAATGTCATTTTGTTAGTGAAAAACAAAAATGCAATGAGGCATAGAGCCTTTATTTTCTGTCTTGATGGGAGATGGTTAAAAGACTTAGAAGGGGAATAAGCATGGGGAAGCTCAATTTTTAAAATATTTCAGTTAAATCATGTTTGGTTCCATAGTGGCAATGATAAAAATTGTGGCACAACCCTTTGCCACTCAAAATGTCACATTAGAATTAGCATTTCTTAACTTGAAATGGACATTTAGTGACGCACATTACCATTTTTCTGCTAGGCTTTTAGATAGTGAAATTTAAGAACCTAAAATACTGATATTGGTCCTGTGTAATTTAAAAATTAATCATCATTATAATCCTCATTCATATGCATAAAACATAACTTAAGTATTGTCATTGATTGGCTTTTGGGGAGGTGGCCTGTGTATGTAACATATCTCCTCCAGACACCTAACAACTGAAGACCCAGACCTTAGCGGTGGGACTCTGAAGAGTATTCCCATATTCAAGCTGGATGACAAGGTTCAGAAATACAAAGTGACGTTTCAGTCTATGTGTAGCTCTAAGTACAAAGACCATTCAAAGAAAATACACACAATCTGTGTAGAATCACTAGTATCAGAGCTTTCCAAAATTAAGCATATATTCCTGTAAGGTTTTGATGAATGATTCTTTAACAAGGATTCATTTGATGAAAAAGAGAAGAAAGGAAAAAAGAGAAATTAGTACACGGCTTCTTAAGTAGCCAATGGCACTTAATATTTTGCACAAAATATGTCTGGTATTGAAGAAAATGTTTAAAACAGCTGAAAATAATAAAATTGGGTAGAATGACATAGTCTTTTAAAAATATTTCATGAAATAGTAGCTTCCTCTTCAGCTTGTGTATTGCAGACTAGCTCAAATTTGCTAAAATTGCACATTTTATGTTGCTTCTTTCTTTACTCATCAACTTTTCATATGATATGCCTGGCCCCATCATCCCTATAAATATTGAGGGAGAAGCTGCTTCATTTTGACCCAACATTTCCTATTATACATCCAGCAAGTGCAAGTTAAAGCATAGTTTCAATGGGAAAGAAATCCCGTTTTATATTGTGAAGAATTTAAGGCTACTAAAATTCTGAACTGCCTTCAGCTATGCAATCAACCATTTTTTTTTTTTAGGATTGTGTACAACCACTGTGGGCATATTTTTAAGTGGAGAATTTATTTCTGTTAGGACAATTACAAAACATTTTTCCAATGTAGTAAATTCTAAGGCAAATCTGTATTGTCATCAAATCACTCATTAGTTTTTTTATTTTTCTCTGCTTTTTCATTTATGTCTTGAATGATGAGAGGCTTACTCCCAAGGCTTTTAGACAGTGAAACTTAAGAACCTAAAATGCTGATATTGGTCCTGTGTAATTTAAAAATTAATCACCATTATAATTTTCATTCATATGTATACTACTTGCATAAAGCATTATTGTTTATCAAATATATTGTGGTCTAATTCTTTTGAAATATGATTTTGTCAAGAACCAACTTTGGCGACTCATGCTTTATTCTTATTTTTACATAAACATTGCACTTATGTGAAATAATGAGAGCCAGGATTGCTGTCAGGAGCCTTGAGTGCTACTTTCTTTGGATGCCAGTCACTTCTGAGCTCTCAAATAAGATACTTACATCTTCTATGTTTTCTAACATAAGCTTAACCACTCTGTATTGTTATTTGTTTTCATATCAGTAAGCCACAACATTATATCAAAATAGGTGAGCCTATTTTGTTTAATTTGGTTTCTTTTGCTCTATGTCCAGGCCAGGTAGATAATCTGTTATCTCCTGAAGGAGATCATACATTTAAGCAACTATTGCCCTGAGATAACCTGCCCTCCATTTTATCTATTCTCACCAGCTTGTGATCTCTCTTTCCTCTGAATTTCAGCAGCATTTTGGTTTTGCCTCTCTTGTGACCTTCACCTGGACTACATTGCTTCTAATTCATTATGTCATGTCTTATCCTTTGGATCACACATTAAAAGAAAGGACTAAAATATTTAGCATTTTTTTCAAATTACTCTATCTACAACAAGGCTTTGAGTTTTGTTTTTTTTTTTAACTTTTTCCTCCCAACATAAAATACCCTGGGAAGAATAAGGGGGAGATGCTATTATCTCAATTATGTAAAGAAAATGTTTATGTAGCATGCCTGGGCCTAGAGATTTCTCCTGGACTCCTAACGCCATTTAATTATGCTCCTCAACTAGATGCTCTATTCTGTTTTTATGCCTAAAGATTTTCACAGTGTGCTCTGAGGTGTGATTCCCCATGTCTTTATAAGGTAGGGGAGGTGTTTTCTCCATTTTGTAGATGGAAAGGAATAATCTAAGAAGTCTTAGTACAGAAATAAAGCTTCGATTTCTCATCCTTTTTTTTTTTTTTTTTTTGTGGTGCTGGAAATTGAACCCAGGGCCTTGTGCCTGCAAGGTAAGCACTCTACCAACTGAGCTATATTCCTAGCCCCATTTCTCATCCTTTCTTAATCCTCATGTAATAGCTAGTGTTGGCATTGGCCTCCAAGATGTGCATAAGCAAGTCGTTTGGAAGAATGTGATGAACAGTCTGACCAGGGATCAATACAGAAACAGCCTCAAAGATACTATTTTCACTATAATTATCATTTCACAGAATAACAGAAATTTCATCTATTTCTTTGGGGGAAAAATAAAAATTAAAAACAATCAAAGCACAGTATTCAGGAGTTTGGATATCTTCAGCAAGCAAGCCAGAAATGGTGTGCAGTTGAATGACCTTTGGATATTGCCTGTTTCAACAGTTGTACTCTCCTCCATGTTGTCAGAGAGTATCATTTCATGGTAAGGTTAGTATCCCATCTTCTCCACATCATTCAATTGAGGGAGACTTTCGCAGGCTGGGTAGTCTGCAGTAGCAGGCAACTGTTCTCCCTCTATCCCATTTGCTGCCCCTCTTATCTGTCTGCCAGATGGAGAGCTTAGTTCTCTTTCAGCACCTTCCTTTTTAAACTTCCATCTGTACTGCTATTGCTTTCTGTATCTAGGATCCACAGGCTGGGAGAAATTGGATATTTTCAACAATGCCACTCCCTCATCTTGCTCATCTTAATGTCCACAATAACAAATATAAAAATAATTTTAAAAATGTCTGGGGGATTTGATGTGTATCAAGCAATATGAAAGCAGGCACTTTACATACATTATTTTAGTTAATCCTCTCAACATCCCTGCCCAGTAAACATACAGATCAGGGAAAAGTATCTCAGCAACATGAAATAACTCACTTTCTGATGCACAAACAATAGGAAGTAAAGCATAGCCACAGAAAGAAGACAACAGATCAGTAAGGTCAGCACAGACCTTGGAGATGCTTCTTTCTGGAACTCTCTGAGGCAAGTAATGTTACTCCAATGTCCTCACAGCTGCTAAATCATTATTATTGAAATGTACACTAATATTTTCAGAAATAAATGTGTTGGACACAACACATCTTAGAGAAAACTTTTTTGCTCATGAAATTTAATTTGTCTCTACCTCTGAAATGACAAATATTGGATATGGAAACATCACCAGTATCTTAGTTTTCCCAGATGTTAATAATAAGTAAGGTTTGTTTTGCTTTTTATCATGTAACAAATGTCTTCTGATACAAGAATATTTTTAATTTTTCCAACTATAGACTTTTGGAACTTAAAGATTGCTCTGAATTCACTTGAATGGTTGATTGAGATGTGGTTCCACCATTAATGTGACATGTCCCTTTTCTTTCTAAAACCTTTTTCCCCTACACTTTTGACTCAAGTTTCATAGTCTGGGGCCAAGAAAGCCTAAGCTAATTGTTCAAAGTGCCACCACTAGTTAGTGAGAGGAAGAGAATGAAAAGCAGAGCTCTTGGTTACTAGGAAAAATTACCAGGAAAGGAGAATTTACTTCAAATAATCAAGTAGAGGGATTGAGACAACTACCCAAACAATTTGTCTCGTATAAATTTTACCAGCTCTTCAATTATCCATTTTCTCTTGCTTTTGAATATTTTCTGACGCATTAATTTTCTATGTGAACAGAACTTTTAGTCAGCTTAGATGTAGGGAACATTCTCCATTCAGGGCATCTGCCTGCAACTTCAGGCATGATTCTCGAAAAGCTTTTCTCTGCTTTATTCTTGTTTATCTAGTGGAATCAAATGAAGCAAGAAGAAAGAAAGAACACAAATTCTCTCCCCCTGTGCTCCAGAGTGATTCCAGAATCTTTATTTCATAAAAGTGAATATCAGAGAAGCTCATATGGATAAACCTAAAGACAAAATCCCTCCAATACAAAAAGG